GATTGCTAGGGAAAGAATTTCAGAAGGCCGCGTCATTGTCCCTATCAATATTCTAAACTGAGATATCAACGGTTGCAACCTTTTTCTCCCTTTTCCTGCCCTAAGAATGTGGTCCCAAAGTCCACAATTCATTTCCCATACGTAGAGAATGCTTCATTTTCTTCGACAGTGACGTCATTAGCTTTGCTAGGTGCATTAATGTTGATAGGTAATCACAAACTGCTACCTTGACTTCATGGTGTTTTATCCTGTAAGGTTCCAACGGTAGCCACATATATAAACCGCCGGTCGATAAATCCCATGAGGACAGGATAATTTTGCAGTATAGTAGAACTAATCCTTGGAACTATTCCAGCGATGTAACTATGCGACTTTGCCAAGCCAAATATGTGCCCATCCTACACATACATATCAAGGCACTCATATATATATATACACATTTATATACCTTAATAATTCATATACGTCTAGCTTACCATCACTTTCTCCAATCAGTACAAGGCAACTAATGGAGTTAACAACTTGAACTCTACATATACTTCTTCAAATTGAATTTTCTAAACGAATAAAGCCATTTCCATATGCATTCACACACGCTTTTCGCATGGAAGTGTAAGATTCCATCAATGGCCATATATGGAATTCACTATGCGCATTCGGTTTCCTATTTCCCTGGAGAAATCCGAGCATTTCCTGTAGAGAGTTGAATTGACTCTTAAGCATTTCAGCTATAGCTACTAACTCTCTGAGACTTTGACTGAATTAAGTCCACGTACAGTGTGCTCTACATATGTATGTGTCAAGAAACGTAGGTCATACGTACGTTGCTATATATATATATATATATAATAGGTTTCTCGAGTAATTTTGTCAATCCTAGCGACACCAAGAGTGACGGATCATCAATGCCGCCGCGTTGAACAAAGCTTAAATTTCACATGCGAAGTGGACAACGTCTTGGTTTTCTTTTGTCAAACGGGTGAACTGTTCATATGTATGCCTTTCACTGTGCAGGGAAGAGACCCAGACAAATCAATTAATAGTCTGAGCTTGATGGGTCGACGCATATATATGTGATATATACCTATATATCTTATATTCGAAAGAATTTCTAGTACTACTTGGCTGTCTCTCATGGATGTGGACAGGCCGCCAACTTTTTCTCGAATTTGGGCTCGTTCCTCTTGATTCTTCCCGGCCTCTGCTCTCTAGGTTGCTACCTAAGTTAAGTGAGCATAGATGTTTGACTGGACTAGGTCAGCAAAGTCAGCCTTCTCTCTCTCTCTCTTTCTCTCTTGCTCTCTCTTCGATCCACACATTCCATACATCGGCCCTATATAGCACGCTTGTACTTTAAAAATAGTACTTGGGCTTCGAGTTCATCATTGTTTGGCCAAACCAAAACTCTCTCTCTCTCTCTCTCTCTCTCTCCCTACATATATATATATTGGAACTTGGAGAAGCATCATCAGCTCAGCTGTGTGTGTACCAGAAGCTTGGGTTCGAGATCGGTCGGATTGAGTTGAAGGCCGGGGTCTAGCTAGCTGCAGGGAGAGGACCATAAAGCATGAGAGGATTTGAGAGGAGAGGCGTCCGGCAGTACAACCGGTCCGACGAGCCGCGGATGCGGTGGACGGAGGAGCTGCACCGGCAGTTCATCGAAGCTGTCAATTGCCTCGGCGGCCAGGACGGTGAGTTCTTGCTTATTGCCTCACAGATATAGATGATGCCTCCCCCTCTCTCTCCGGTCTAATTGCACATTTCACATGCACGGACGATATGTATGTATAAAATTTGATGATTTCATTGATTTGAACTGCTAGAGGATCGATTTGTTAAAAATCGTGCTTTTTTTTTGTATGGGTCGATTTATTATGGGTAGTCCTTTCTTAGTATACTTGCTTTAGTTGCGCCGTAGGCTAGGCAGGAGTTGGTTCAAGTTCATGGAAGAAAAGAAAGGTGAGAAAACCCCATGTGATATGCATGCATCATAAACAAGATGAGATCCATTATTGGCTGATTGAATTATTTGTTGCTCAAGAAAGTCGCTAATTAATTGTGCAAACGATGTTTAACACCTTAGTAGAGTAATCTCTACGATTACTTTTGTAATAAATGGCCGCTCTCCTGTCAAAGAAAAATATATCTTTGGATTAATCCTACCTACAGAAGACCATAGTAATTCGTAAGCGCGTGTATCCTTAATCCGGGATCCATCGTGCTAGCTCTCTCTGGGTCAGAAACTCGGAACTTAATCAAGAGTAGCAATTCTTTCTTGACGTACGGCTGGTCGTCTGGTGTTGACACTATCTTCGCATCATCTGCAGAGGCAACGCCGAAGCGTATTCTTCAGCTGATGGGCGCCAAGGGAGTCAGCATATCTCACGTCAAGAGCCATCTCCAGATGTACAGATCAAGCTCTAGCAACTCCACCTGCAACGGTACACCCAATGCGTCCGTGGATCGCCGTGGAGACCAGCGTGTTGTTGACGGGCCATGGAATGGCCACAGGAACGGGAATGGCATGGGGGTGGCTTCGGAGAGGATCGACGACGCTTCATCTTACCCCGTGCCTTCCCATGGCCACCGCTCGCCGGCGTACCAAATGTGAGTACCATAATTGGCTGTTAACTCAGTTCTTTAACTCTAACTAGTGTTCGTATGCATAACCGATCGAGTTGTTAATCAGACGAGCTGGTTTTGCAGACCGTCGATCGAAGACGTTTTCAGGAGCTGGGAGCAGAGTAGAGGGCGGCTGCCGTGGAACTCCAGCATGCCATCAGAGAAGGTAGGAGTACTAGCAATTATGTGTTATTTTTGTTGTCTTGCTGAGACAAACAATGGATTAACGTATACGTATAAAAATCTGGGAGTACATCGATGAGCACAAACTATGAACGAATCCTCTTCCTTGCTTTCCATCATCGTTCATATAGATACATGCATGTGCAGATGTGCTGTATACTGTCTAACTAGAAGCTTCATTTTTGTAAGTAGTTCGTTAGGTAGCAGTCAGCAGACTCTGCCAAACTACCACCATGGCACGAACACGCTGCCGTGTATTGACTGTCCAGTCTCCAGTTCTATTGTAATATCAGCACTGAAGCATCTTAATTCCCCTGACATGGCTGATGTTGTTGCAGGCGACCGGCTGGGCATGCCACGCTGACAGAAGCACACGTCAGAAGCAGCAGCAGCAGCAGCAGACGGCGGCGGGGTGTGACCTGACGCTGTCGATTGGCCGGTGGGAGGCGGAGGCGGCGAGCAGTGATGCTGACTTCTCGAGCATGACCACCGAGGAGGCCGTCGCACCAGCAAGGGATCGAGGAGCCGGCGATCACCGTCGCTCCGCCTCCGTCACCGGCCTGGACCTCGACCTGAACCTCGACTTGGCCATCTCATCCTCTTGTCTGTGATGTGATCGATACTCTCCCTGTGTAAATATATAGAGCTGCATGCATCTTTGTATATGAAGTTACATTATATAGCTATCATTGTACCATAGATCGTGTAGTGTGGTGGTAGTAAATTTCTGAGGTTTCTTGCTAGCTATATGAGTTTATTTGTAGACTGCCATACTCACTAGGGGTTTCTACCGTTTTAGCGGTATATGCATGCATGATTTCTTATATGGTTCATTTTTCACAATACGCTTTCTTTCTCTGAATTTACGCTTTTAGTTTGAATTTAAAACATATAGACGAGGTGGTACTAATATTGACCCACTGCCACCCGTAAGTAAAAAAAGACCTAGCGAGTCGATCCCCATCTCCCTCTCTCCCTCGATCCCACAGGTCGCGTACGACGCTCCTCTCTCCCTCACCCCTTCTGTGCACCACCGGCCACTGGCGCCCATGGCAAGCATTATCTGTCGTGGTTCTAACTCTGACAGTGATGTAGGGGGTATGTATGGAGAGGCTAGATCTTAGCTATGGAGGAGTTGTAAGCACACGAGGATTACGAGTTCAGGCCCTTCTCGGAGAAAGTAACAGCCCTACGTCTCGGTGCCCGGAGGCGGTCGACTGAATTATGTGTGTATGAATAACAGGGGTGCCAACCCTTGATACTGAGGAGGGGGTGGCTTATATAGAGTTCGCCAGGCCCCTCCAGCCCTCAGTAATGCAAGGTTTAAAGTACATTAAGATTGGGGGTTACTGGTAACGCCCCTAATAAAGTGCTATGATGACCATAAAAGCTACTTAATGACCGACCGTTTGTGTGCAGGGTGACTTTAGATCTCCTGGCAGTCGAGTGGTTGGAATCTGTCGAGTGATTACTTCGTGGTCGAGTGTCTTGAATTTGTCGAGTGGGATACCTCCAAGTCGATTGAAAGGTGACTTCTTCTAGGGATGTCCTTGGGTAGGGTACTTAGGACAGGTCCATGCCCCTATCCTAGGTACATAGCTTCATCATTAGCCCCCGAATGGATCGAGGTTCGAGTGGGGAAGGAGTTGGGGATCTTTTCGACTGGTTCTTCATGTTATATGAACGTCTTGTTTTGGATCAATTGTCACGGATGACGTCGTCAACTTCTTTCAGTCGCCTTGATCCATTCTTGGCCTCTTGTCGAGTGAATTTCTTTACTTGTGAAGTTCCGAGTGACGGTGTGAAAGGGATCTTCTGTTTGACGAGTTGTTCTGCGGCCCGTGGATTTTGCGGGATTCGAATTTCGGGAAGCACGCGGGACGGGGGCGGCCGCAGTAATCGGATCGGATAGGACGGAAGCTCCTCGATCCCCGCGCCACCTTTTTCGCCACGTACCGCGCGCGCCTGTTGCGGGATTTGACGGGATTGCCTGGGCCTACCAGTCAGCCACTCGGAAGCGACCTCTTATAAGCTGCCGGCTCGGGACTCCCGAACAGTGTGCCTTCACTTTTCCCCCTTCCTTCACAAGATCCTCCGCCACCTCCGCTCCCACCTTGGTGCCGTAGGTCTGTTCGAGCTTCGCCGGCGACGATGGTGAAGGAGAAGACGTCGGCTCTGGAGCGCGCGAAGAAGGCGGCGGTGCAGGGGAAGGGGAAGAAGTCCGCTCGGGGCGGATCTTCCTCGAGGACTGCTCTGCCCAAGGATTGGATCCAGGGCGACTGGATGCCGTCGGTGATTCGGCAGGATGATCTCGATGATCTGGTCAAGGGATGATTCATTCCCCATGAATCTACGCGCCTCCCGGGGAAAGAAGTCGAACCCCAGCCTCTTGATGGTGAGTGCGTCCTCCTCGCCACCCATATCGATCGTGGATTCTCTCTGCCTCCTCATCCTTTTTTTCGGAGCTTCTTGAACTTCTTCGGAGCGCAGCTCCATCACTTTACTCCCAATTCTATTGTGTATCTTGCTGCTTTCGTTTCCTTGTGTGAAAACTTCTTGGGTTGCCGCCCCCATTGGGGACTCTTCAAGCACATCTTCACTTGCCGCTCTTAGTCGGTCAAGAAGGCCAAGTCGAGTGACGAACGGACGCAGGTGATCCAGCTGTGCGGGGGCCTGGCGATCCAGATGAGGGGAAAAGTTCCTTTCCATCTATCACTTTTCCCGAGTCAGTCCGTGGGTGGCAGTCGACTTGGTTTTACTGTAAAGACCAGGTGACCCCAGGACAGTCGACTGGGCTTCCCCCTTTTTCTCTGAATTGAGCACAAAAACCTGCCTCTCTGAAAGTGACGCCGGAGGAAAAGGCGCAAGTCAAGGTGCTGGTCGGTCGAGTGGTTCAGCTTGTCCGCGAGGGTGTGACTGGCATGGACTTGTTGGAAGTCTTCCTTCGGAGGCGCATCCAACCGCTTCAGGCTCGTGACCACCCGATGTGGCTGTACTCGGGTCTCGAAGACACCACTCGGATTCACCCAGAGGAGGTCACTGAGGAGATGTTGGAAGGGTGGCTGTCGAGTATCACAGGGAACAAGGACAACCCCCAAGGAGCCAGGAGGATTCCTCCACTCGACCAAACATACGAAGTGGACAAGGTCTGACCTTGCATTTCCGACTGTGATCTTGCTTTCTTTATTTGTTCTTTTTGGATCAGTCGATTGACTTTTGTCTTGTTTGTTGTCCTCTAGGCCACTACTGAGATGTACTCGACACCCAATGGAGCACAGGAGCAGGCCGAGGAAGGAGAGGCGAGCGGAGGCGAAAGTGGAGACGAGGGAGAAGAGTGGGAATCTAACAGCGAAGGAGAGGGGGATGACGACGACGACTCCAGTGAAGAGGAGGAGGAAGAAGTCGAACCTCCCCGCTCGGAACGGCGATCCAAGCTTACACACGACCCTGCGCGGGAACGTGGTAAGGCGTCTGTCCCTGTTGGGCAGTCGTCGAAGCGCCCTCGGACCTCATCTCCAGCGCTGACAGAAAAAGCTCCCAAGCACCCACGCGCGACGCCGTCCAAGCCTCCCAAGGCTCTGCCCAAGATGAAGATGACTGTCCCCAGCATTTTTGGGTAATAGTAGAATTTGTTCTCCTTTGTCGAACGTGACGGACTCTTGGTCGACTCATTGAATAAGCTGTCTGACTTTCGAAATTTGCAGTGCTGCCACCTCGGAGATCTCTGCCAAGGACGATGATCAAGAGATGGAAGACGCTGTCACCTCCAACCCCGGTACGATTACTGATGCTCTGCTTTTAGTCGACTGATGATTTCTTATAATTCTGGTCGATTGGATTTTTCTTGTAGCTCCTCCTCATGTCATTGACCTCCCTGATGATGACGACGAAGTGCCGCTGAGGGCGCGAAGGAACAGGAGGGCGCCGGCTGGCAAGACCCCACAAACTACTCCGGCGCCTGAGGCCGCAGTCCGGGAGGGTGGTGATACCACTCGGGTTTCTGTGACCTTCGCTGAACCTCTGACGAGTGTCCGGCCTTCGACGTCGACTGCAAATCAGCCTTCGCTTTTTGCCACACACCACGTCCCTGAGGACCAAGTGGGTGCCGCTAAAGAGGCTATACGCCAGGCGGGGATCATGATGGAGCAAGTGAAGGTGGTTCGGGAAGCCAGCCAAGCAGCTTATGACGCGAGCTCAGCTCTCCAGAGCAACGTCCAGGTCAGTCGATTCACCGCTTGTTCTGTTAGGATATGCTATCTGAAGAATCTCTTTTCCGAAGATCTTTATATCTGTACGCCCACTGGGTGTGTCTATTAATCTTTTTGACGAGTGGGGGCACGCTAAATGCACCCACTGGGTGTAGTCCCTGAGACTACGGTGGACTGCTGGCAGTCGACTGTAGTCTTTATATTGTGTTGCTTTAGCTGAACTTCTTCACTCGGTCTGGTCAGGCCATGTCGAATGGAACTGTACACGGTCGGCTGCGGGCAGTCGATTTTTTTGGTCGAACCAGTGGGGGCACGCTGAGTGCACCCACTGGGTGTAGTCCCCGAGACTACTGTCGAATGTTTTTGATTCGGCTGTAGTCTTAGAAACGCCATCATTGTCTCTTGGTTACTCGGAAGCAACTTATCTTGGATGTCTGTCGACTGATTTTTTGCAGAAATCCTGCGAACTTGTGGCTCGCTACACTGAGTTGGAGAACAAACAGATCCAGCTGAACCTTGACTTGAAGCTTGCTCAGGAGAACTTGCAGAAGGCGAGGGACGAAGCAAAAGGTATGGCTGGTGAGCTTTTATCGACTGTCCTTTCTTTCTGGCTGTCCTCGATGTTGATCTCACTTGCTGTTTCGCAGACAAAATGGAGGAGGCTCTGAAGAAGAAGGATCAAGACCTTGCCGAAGCGCAGAAGGAGGCCCTGAACAAAACGAAGCTTGCTGAAGAAAAACTGGCTTTAGTCGGTACTCTTGAAAAGGAAAACTCCAGGCTGAAAACTGCTCTCGACGCGGCTAATCGAGAGGTCAGCCGTCTGAAGAATGGCAATATAGCTCTGAATGACAAGGCAAGTGAACTGGCGGGGAAGAGGAACGATCTGGAGGCTTATCTCGGTGGACTCGCCAAGAAGCTATTCATCATGCTCGAGGGTAATTACTCCGGCCCGACTGACTTGCAGTTACCAAATCTGCGTAGAGCCACTGACTTATCCTTTAATTGTGTTTACAGAATTCTGCCAGAACTTCGAAGAGGAGAGCAGTCGAGTGGAGACAGACTTGGACCCCATCAATTCTCCAGTGAAGGACGAGGCTGCTATGAACGTGCTCCGACTGGAATCTCGTGTTGCCGGCGTTGTTGACTATCTTGCTCGGTTGAAGGTTGCGATGTCACAGATCGACATGTCGCTCTGGCCTAGGACAACGCTTCAGAATGACCTCGAGTCCCTGATGACTCGACTGAATGAAGTCCCAGGTCGAGTGGCGGAATGGAAGAAATCTTCTGCTAGATGTGGCGCTGACGTCGCTCTGTCTCTGGTCCGCGTCCACTGCAAGGAGGCGTGAGAAGAAAAGTTGGCCGCCATCCAAGTTGCCAATACCAGGAAGCACAACTTTCAAGAC